TACTTAGTAGATATAAGCTCCTGTATGGGTGACGACATAGACATTATCTCCCTTCTCCCACAACTAATATAGCTAGAGAGAATATAAAATGTGATTGCTTATCAACCATAAGAGGGTCAATATATTGGAGGGTGATTCTTTTCGAGGATTAGCGGGTTGACAGACATGATAGCTAAACGGTTCCTTTATCTATTATCAGGAGGAACATATCCCCATTTTGATAGGTGAGGGACATCACTTTATCTATTGTTGGGAGTATAATATGGATTTTTTTTATCTGTTATTAAGAAATGAACTCATTCCAATGAAATAGTATCGCTTTATCTACGGTTGAAAGAGTATACCATTGGGTGTCTGATAATAATGATATGTATAGATAACTAGATTTTGTATATATTATATTGGATTAGTACATGTGATAATTATGAGACTTATTATATGACCCTTCTCTATCATTGTTAAAAGATATTCAATTCAAATGTCGAATCTTAGCTAAAGGCTTACGTATGACTGACTGTATTTATGGATAATATTGTATGAAAGCATATTGTATGTATTCTTCTTACCTATGCATGATCCATGATTACTTCAATGATTTTGTAATCTTATCTGACTCATATATCATATGCAATGTTAAATTCATTAGTTGATCAACATGTTATTATTACCTTTTTCTTTGATCTCTATTCTCTTCTAGGCATTTGTATTCATCCAAAACTATTTTCGTAAACTATAGTGTCGATTGTTTCAAGATGGTATGATGATTTCTTCGAGTTAGCGAAACACTTGGAGTTGCTATCGGGCAGCATCCGAGATGAGGTAATAATTAGGTAGCTAATAAATATGATAATTATTTATGAGATTATATTAAAAATATATATATATAGCTCTATATAATAAATTTTGAAGCAAGGTTCACACACGGTGCGATTTTCTCAGCATACGAGTTAATTCGTACTAAGGCATGATATTTTTCACCCATAATGAATGAAGGCATACTTTTGTCAAATAAACATTCATATGGTTTTATTTAGGAATGAGAGAAGAGATACAAAATACGAACATTCTACGGATATGAGACATGAGATATCAACATTTTTCACACTTGAACCGAAGCACAATAAAAGATACAATTTTTTTTCCCCTTAAATGAAATTATCCTCTATTTAGTTAACTTCTTTCTTTCTTATTCAATAATACTAAGAACATAAGATAGGTCAAATCAATTCTTTCGCATTGAGTTAACGAATTGACCACATTAGATTAGCATTAAAATGAACCTATGAGAAAATATCATAGAAAATCCAAACCCATATATCCCTTAAAGAATATGTCCCTTTTCAAATATATTTATACAAATTTATGTACTCTTAGTTTGATTACCAATTCTTTTAGCATGAGATTGCCTAGTTGGGTCAATAGTGTCATAGCTAAGGTTGCACCCTTCCTATGCACCAAAGCTCAACATTGATTTGACAACATTTGAGGCTAATGCATATCTAATTCACACTCATACTTAAGCTCAACCACGGCCCAAATTTTAGGCTTAGCTAAATCCTAATGACTTATAAAAAACTATAAAAAAAGGATAGCTTTACTTAGGTTTCAAATTTGGCATTTCTTAAGAGAGATAGACATTTTACCACCGTACGCTAAAATTAATATCAAAGTATATAAGAGGTTTAAAGCGTGACGTGATCCAAATTCATCCCTCACTTCCAATGCATCTTTGCTAGATGAGCATGCGATGTATCACTTATTCAAAGCACCCAACATGTTCGGTATGATCAAAACATCCCATTATAAGTGAAGTGTTCATCTCAGACAAAATGTATCTAAAACATGTCTCATTATATGTGATGCATTCACTCGTGACAAAGTAGCCTTTGCTCATGATACATTCCTTCAAGACAAAGAAAACACAAAAAGTATCCGATACGATACGATCAAAGTGTCCCAATACATGCAATACATCCATCCAAGATAAAACAAAAACATCCAAAACTCCAAGATAAAGATAAACCTCGCGTATAAAAAGGCGCCATAGGCTCTCGAATGAGCTCAATTTGGGGTTCTACCAATCGGAATCCTTCCGCCTTTGGTTCCAACCGTGCTTGCCACTTGCTCGATCATGCAAGCAAGTGGACTAGCTTTTGCTTTGCGTCTATAGATATGCTAAAACCTGTTCTGTTGAATCTGATTTCTCTTCTTGTTTTATCGATTTCAATTAGAATATATCGGGCAACAAATGCTTGCATTTATAGATCAAGCCACTCACCTTCGTGAGCTTTAGATGAGTCTACTGTGATCTTTTCCGAGCATTCGATCAACCTGAAACTATCTGGAAATTACTTCCAGTTGTTTATGGCTTCCCTTAAGACAATAAATCAGTGAGTTCTCATGAATTATGATATCATTTTTGGTTCTTGTCGTCGTTGCTTCTTTTTCCTGAGCTTATACATATAATTCTTACATGCAATAACATGCTGTTGCTGTATCTATATGAGCTACTTAGATTCGTTCCTGCTAATTCTCTTTGCCATCTATCCACAATCATCTCTATGATTCTTTCTATTCCTAAGCTCAGCAAAGTTTCTTTGACTTCTCTTGCAGCCATATTTGCCAAATTAGCCTTTCCCTGTTGCATGATCTATTGCTGTGGAAGTTGGCATGCTTCTATTTCATTCTTCACTGTGCATCTTTTTCTCAATTTTTCAGATGTTTTTCTTCTTTCTTTGTTGTTATTATTTTAGTTGTGTAATATTTTGGACGAATTCCCGGAAAAGGTTTATTTTGGGTTTTTCCTTCCCCTTTTTTATATTTTTCAATGATGCCAATTTTTTTATCATATTTTTCAGAATAACCCTAACAAGACATCACAATTTCTATCTTTTTTTTTTTTTTTTTTGGTGGATCAGTCCATACGATGAATCTATCAATCGATCGGATGAGTCGGTCCGATTCTTTAGTTACAAATTTTTCGAATAATATAAAAGTCTCACTATTTGATTGTTCTTTATGCTTTTAACCAATAAAGATACTAATTTAAGATTATATTTTTATACATGAGTAAGTTTCTATTGAGTTTTATTTGTTTCGGTTATAATGTTTTTGAATAGATTTATAATGTCTCAGTGAATGGGTCAACAATACTATAACGGATCATATAAATCTTATATAGAGGAAATTAAATTACTACTCAGAAACATATAAGAAATTATGATAAATAAGGATGCTTTTCTATGGGAATTGGTCATAATATTTTGGTAAGATCATTGGCTAAGTTTTCTCCATCACTTAACTGTACTTATCTTCTATTCTCTTCTTTGCATTGCAGACATGGCTGGTCTTGCACCACAAAGGTCACAGTTTGCTAAGATGAACGAGCTGTACTTCATCTTCACCTTTTCTTTAGATCATTCGACATCATTTTTGTCATCCCTCTCCTCATTGCTGTTTCCCTCTGCAGTCTAAACGCAGATGGGCATGAATTTTTCACCTCATGTGATGAGTTTATGAGAACTCCGAGAGAATCTGCTTAGAGGCATTTACGCCAATGGTGTATACGTCTATGATCACATTTTCCTGTGACCCATTTCATGCTACATTGAGATCGGGCATCCATCAGCTGATGATGACACTGCCACCTTCTGTTCTGGAGTTCTGCAGCAGCTTGACTATGGCCTGGTGGAATGCCAGGCCTTGCTGCTTGCTCCCACCAGAGAAATGGCACAGCAAATCGAGAAGGTGATGAGGGCGCTCGGTGACTGCCTGGGCGTCAAAGTTCATGCCTGTGTCGGAAGAATCAGTGGCCGCATCGATCAACGGGTCCTCTTCGGCGGCGTTCATGCCGTGGTTGGCACTCCCGGTCGTGTCCTCGACGTGTTAAGGAGGCGATACCTTCGCCCTGACCACATCAAAATGTTTGTCCTGGACGAGGCAGATGAGATGCTTTCGCGTGGCTTCAAGGACCAGGTTCGATCTTCTTCCTGCTCTCCGGTTTCGGTCTCCCGTTCATGCGAACTTGACAAGGGGTAGCGTGTCGTTGCAGATCTACGACATCTTTCAGCTACTCCCTTCAAGAGTTCAGGTGGGACTCCTCTCTGCGACGATGCCACCGGAGGCCCTTGAGATCACCAAGAAGTTCGTGAACAAGCCTGTTAGGATCCTCGTGAAGCGAGATGAGTTGACTTTGGAGGGTATCACGCAGTACTACGTCAACGTTGACAAGGAAGAGTGGAAGTTTGACACGCTGTGCGATCTCAATGAGCTGGTGGCGATCAGTCAGTCTGTCATCATCGTCAATACCCGTCGCAAGGTCAACTGGCTCACTGAGAAGTTGAGGAGCAAAGACCAGACGGTGTCAGCGACTCATAGCGACATGGATCAGAACACGAGGGACATCACATCATCATGCGCGAGTTCCGATCGGGCTCCTCTCGTGTGCTCGTGAACTATGTATGATCTGCCAACGCAATCGGAGAGCTACCTCCACAGGATCGGACGAGGTGGGAGGTTTGGGAGAACACAGAGTGACTCTAAAACAGAGAAATCATCAAACACATTATTTGTTTTCTCTTTCTCTGTTAACAATGGTGTCGCCAATAGAAGGTTGGGCTCGAACATGTCAGAAACAACATATTGTTGTTTTCTCTATGGTGAATGTGCCACACCACACATCCCTCGAGAAAAATGGAACTTTGGTTATTCTCATGGACTCATACCCTTTTGCCTGGGGAGCAGTTACTCATATGGCTTGTTGCTTGACCAAAGGCCAGTGGTGGATGAGTCTTACAAGAGGCTAAAGGTCATTGCTTCTTTATAGAGAGAAGAAGGCTTAGAGAGTGGGGTGTCTTTCATGTGACCTCTCTGTCATGGTGTGTTTCTCTTCTCTCTCAAAGAACATCTTTTGATATTCCGTTAAAATTCATTCTTCCTTTTTATTGTGGAAATTTATATTTGGTATGCTACATTTCTTTGTTGTCAGTGATAGGATCTCATGCTCCTTGAATACTATAAAGAAGCCAATTGTCCTCTACCAAACACAGCATGAAGAACAAGGGATATCTTCCTTCCTAGCTCATGCCAAGAGTTTGTCTCTCCTGAGGTCAGTCATCTCACTCTCTTCAACTTCTCTGATTCATTCATCAAATTACCTGGCATTCCTTTGTTTTTGGTGCAATATACTGAGCCATGTCATACCTTTCTTCTCCACTTGGTTCATGCAGGTAAGTTCAGTGGCATTGTAGTTTGAGGGAACTTCTCTGCTCCACCTTCTTTACACCATGCACACTTCATTTCAGTTCTGAAGGTACCTTAACTATGGGCGAAGTAGGCAATGACAGGAAAGCCAAGGCAGCAAAGAATCAAAAGAGCTACTTCGACGTGTTGGGTCTCTGCTGCTCGTCCGAAGTCCCCCTGATTGAAAAAATTCTGAAGCCTTTGGATGGTGTTCAGAAGGTTTCAGTGATCGTTCCCTCAAAGACAGTCATAGTAATCCATGACAGCCTCCTCATTTCTCAACATGAGATAGGTAAGTTCATCTAAACAAGAACACTCTATTCTAAGACATTTACTCCTTTAATCGTTCATGCTGTTATAGATCACTCACTCCAGTGCGAGAAACTTCAGTACCCCTCTGTTTCTCCTCCTGCTACTTGCTCTGAAATAATCTAGCCTGGGGGGTTGCCATACAAATTTTGGCTCATGATGATGCTAGAACAGCTGTATCGAAATTGACAGTTCGATTTCATCATGAAGGGACCATCCTTAGTGTAGTTGAGGTGCATAAGACCTATACCTGCCTAGTTAAATTTTGAGAGCTGCCTGCTAGGACCACCAGACTGATATCTATGGACCTTCAATTGGCTAGAATTTGTAGATGTCACCAACAACAATGATCACTTGATGTTCTGCAAAAAAAATTGCATCTCCAAGAACATTGAAATCTTCTTTAATGTGTCTTATTTTGCTTTGGTTCCATCAGCTAAGGCACTGAACCAGGCAAGATTGGAAGCTTCGGTTCGCGCATATGGCACTGCAAAGAGTACCAAGAAATGGCCAAGCCTATATATATTGGCTTGTGGAGTGCTACTTCTGGTCTCACTGTTTAAGAAGTTCTTCCATCCACTGCAATGGTTTGCGATAGCTGCAGTGTTGGTCGGCATACCACCAATCATGCTGAGAAGCATTGCAGCCATTAGGAAGCTTACACTGGACATCAACATCCTTCTACTTATCGCAGGTAGATCAATTTCTCATTTTCTGGAAGAGCTGTACACATGAAAAAAGTTTTGAATGACAATGAAAGTTGCATGAAGCTCACAGCCTTAGCAGCAAAGATTTTACATTGAGAATGAAGATTACAGATCAAGGTTCCTTCCCTAAGATTCACCACCATTATCATTTTTGTCGAAGTTGGAAGTACCACCTTGTTTCAAATTTATGATTTTACAACAAGTTGTTTCCATCATCAGTAGAAACAAGAAGCAGGAATCAAACTATCTGAACATACAATAGCACATGAAATGTTAGAACTTAGAACTAACCAAAACAGAAATAAGTGTTTTTTTCCTCCATCCAATCTGGAATTTGAATATTGTCTGCATCATTTTGAAGAAATAATCTATTGGTGACCACAATGGGCTGTTGCTGCCTTGTTGGTGTCTTTTGGCAGTTGGTGGGGCAGTTGCATTCAGGGACTATTCAGAAGCTGCCTTTATTGTGCTCCTGTTCACAGTTGCTGAATGGTTGGAATCAAAGGCCAGCAGTAAGGTACTTACTCCAACAACATTATTAGCTTTCCTTTGCTCTCTCATGCACTGCTGTACTTCAGAAAAGAGACCTTCTTCCAACCTCTTGGCTCTGAGTTCAGAGGTGGACCACCCTTGAAAGCATAGATTGGTTTGCTCATAGTAATAGTATTCTGTTAAATAAATGACAAATCATAGGATAATTTTTATTTGAGCCGGCAATTCTCCAATTGATTCTGTGAAAATGAATCAACTCAGTTGTTCACAAACTTATCTATTTATCCTCTATTACTTCCAGAACAAACTGTGAATTACAAGCTGGCAATGCTTTCTACTGCTCATCTTTGAGCCAATCTTTTTCATTATTTATCAAGACATCTTCTTGCAGCTTATTCAAATATATCAAAAGCTATTATTTTATCACCTTTATTTATCCAAATTTTCTTTGAGATTTTACCTGGCTTACTAATATGTTCAATTCTAGAACTTTTACTACTTGTTAATTTGTGCTTGGGAATCATCCTAATATCCCAATAACAAAGGCTACATACTGCTTTTCTGCTAATTCTAAGTTGTAATATCCATAGAGTAGCAATCTTTACTAGCTGAAATGAGCTAACAATCCTAACCTGCAGGCCACAGCAGGGATGTCCTCACTGATGAGCATGGCTCCTCAGCAGGCTGTTCTAGCTGAAACAGGTCAGGTTGTGGATGTCGAGGATGTCGAAATTAATACCTTAATTGCAGTCAAAGCAGGAGAAGTAATCCCAATAGACGGCATCGTAATCGATGGGTGGAGTGAAGTTGATGAGAGAAGCCTTACAGGAGAGTCCTTCCCTGTAGCCAAGCAAGCTAATTCCCTGGTTTGGGCTGGCACACTCAGCATAGATGGTATCATCCTCCCAATATAGTCTTTTAAACTGAACTGCTCCATTGAGGAATTCAGCAAACATTCTCTGAGAGGCATTGCAGGTTATGTTAGTGTGAGAACAACTTCTCTTTCAGAGAACTCTGCAGTAGCTAAAATGACAAGTTTGGTGGAAGAAGCACAAAGTAGCAGGTCAAGGACACAGAGATTGATAGACTCCTGCACGAAGTACTACACACCAGGTTTATACTTTCAATTAACTAAACATGAAATGAACCTAAAAGGAGATGTACCTCTTGCACAAATATATTGAATATTAGATGATTAAATGTTGGCAAAGATGTGATAACCAAAAAATTACTACATCTTATGGAAGTATGATATCTGCTGCTAAACCAATCAGCTTGAATCATCAAAGACTTCTTCCTCATCTTTGCCTGTCTTCAATGCAGCTGTGGTGATTGTAGCAGCTGGAGTGGCATTAATTCCTTTTCTAATGAGAGCTAGCAACCCCAGAAGCTGGTTCCAATTGGCACTGGTCCTTTGTGTGAGTGCATGTCCATGCGCACTGGTGCTGTCCACTCCGGTTGCAACCTTTTGTGCACTCCTGAAAGCAGCCAGGACAGGGCTCCTCATCAAAGGAGGGGATGTTCTTGAAGCCCTGGCCAAGATTAGAGTTGTGGCGTTCGACAAGACAGGGACGATAACAAAAGGAGAGTTCACTGTTGTGGAGTTTGAATCGATGAGCGGCAAAGTCAATCTTCATACACTTCTTTATTGGTAAGACTAGGCTAAAGTAGGATTTGCTAGCAATTACTATTTGCATTTGTTCATTTAAATTAGATGGCAGACAAGGAAAGATGATTGTCCTTAACACATTACTTCAGAGAGAATGTTCCTGATAAAAAGAAAAATAATTTGGAAAGAAATGTGCAAGAACAGCTCAGCTAGTCAAAGATCAGCAAGTGAAAGCAGTGAGATTGGAGGATCATCTGACAAGTTTGTCATGCATTTCATGTCTATCAATTTAATCTCTAATTACAACAAGAGATTTTTGTGCTTTATTTTTCTGGGACATAATATGTGCAACATATTGAGAAGTAGACTCAAAGTTTGGCATCTCTGCAGGGTGTCAAGTATCGAGAGTAAATCGAGCCATCCAATGGCATATGCACTTGTTGACCATGCTCGTTCATATTCTATCGAACCAAAACCAGAGAGTGTAAAGGAATTCCGAATCTATCCTGGAGAAGGAATTTATGGAGAAATAGAGGGAAGAAACATTTATATTGGGAACAAAAGAATAGCAGCAAGGGCTTCATCTGAGACAGGTAAATCATATGTTCTCAACCATGTAATTCCTTGAGTAAATGATTACACACTGATTCTGAATCTGCTGCAGTACTTCATCTTTTATCATGATATCTCTGGAGCTTTTCTAGTAGTGCAATTAACTAGCATGAGATTTCTAAAATGAACATTTTAGAGACAAACAAAGTTGGATGTATAGAAAGAACTGATCTGCTCATAGCTCAGGATGAACAGGGTAGACTATAATGCCAATGAGAAAAAGAATGCAGGCAAAAATGCAATTTGATATATAATTTTAGCTATGAACAAGTATTCTGGTCTAGTTTGTCTTTTATTCAGAACTATCAAAATATTGTTGCTGAATTCGTGCTTCCTAAGGCAATCGATTCTATTTTATGAGAGAAAGCAGGAACATACAGTTTCCTAAGCTATATTCACTTTCAATATATGAACAATGTTTAAAATTTGTATGACAAATTGTCCTGAAAACTGCAGTTCCAAACATGGCGGACATGAAGGGGGGAGTCACCTATGGTTATGTGTTCTTGGACATGATACAAGTTGGAACATTTGCCCTATCTGATACATGCCGAACAGGAGCTGCAGAAGCTAACAAGGAGTTGAAATTATTGGGCATCAAAACAGCAATGCTCACTGGAGATAGCACAGAAGCAGCAATGCATGCACACGGACAGGTAATTTGGTTTACTTGTTCCCAGAACACTGTAAGACCTTAAGAACACTTTTGCAGGATGATGACAACTTGGTATCATCTTTATCAAAATTTATGCAGCAAAATCCTAAGTAGTCTGAGGACAACACAAACACTTTCTGATACTTCTTTTCCTTTGTTAAACAGATAGAGCATGGAATGGAAATAATTCATGCAGAGCTTCTACCAGAAGACAAGGTTCACTTGATTGACAGTCTCAAGAAAAGGGAAGGGCCTACAGCAATGGTGGGAGATGGGGTGAATGATGCACCTGCATTGGCCATGGCAAGCATTGGGATCTCCATGGGGGTATCAGGCTCTGCGGTTGCAGTGGAGACCAGCCACATAACCCTCATGTCGAACGACCTCCGCAAGATTCCCAAAGCCATAAGGCTGGCGAGGAAGACGCGATTTAAGATCGTCGCAAACATCGTCTTCTCGCTGGCAACAAAGATTGCCATCTTGGCCATGGCCGTCGCGGGGCATCCACTTCTTTGGGCAGCAGTCCTAGCTGACGTCGGCACATGTCTGCTGGTCATCTTCAACAGCATGACCCTGCTGCAAACAAGCAAACCCTCGCAGGCAAAGTGCTGCAGCTCTTCCCACAACAGGCTCAAGGAACGGCGGCTGCAGAGCCCGAGCTTCCAGGATGAGCATTGCTGCCATGATCATAAGAAGGCCATAGCCGTGACTGATGCAAACCATACCAGTGATGGTTGCTGCATGGCCAATGGGGATGACTTTGGGAGAGAAAGAGGCTGTTCGTCTGCAGAAGAGACAACAGGGAGGAGAGAGATTGGTGGGTGCTGCAGGAGTCACACAGATGGTTACTGTGCAGGTGAGAGTGCAGTGGTACAAATGCCTGAGATCATAACAGAGTGGGAGAGGGAGAAGACAGCAGCTACCTGATCACAAGGCTCAGATAGATTCAAGGAAAGATTCTATTGGAATCTTGTTGGACTCATCCAATTTTTATGGATTCTGTGAGATTTATCGTCTTTTCTAAGAAATTGATCCTTCTGGTTCACCAGAAATAGGAACTGATCTGACTGACGTGGAATATCCTTAATTTACAGATAAAAAACAAATAAAATTTATTATTATTATTTTTCACTCTGTATAATTTCTGGGAAACGAATTAGTGGAAAGCAATTTATCGGATCCGAACATTACCGATGATATCCAAATAGCGCAGTGACGTGACGCAGTGAACTGTTTGTTGATAATGTGCATAAATATAATATCGGATCCGGGTCTGAATCCGATTACTTATTGGAATCGGATTGAAAAAGGATCCGACCCGAGCGTAGAAACCGACTATCATCTCCACATATGCCACCGAAGATATCATTTAATTACAAATCGACCACTCGATCCCATCGCTTCATCATGCCTTCCACGCTGCCTCATCATTCTTGCATTTTTGTTGCTCTCTCTCTCTCTCGATCTTTTTCTTGGGTTTTCGTTACCGAAATCGATCGGTTCGCCGTCTCCTCTCATGGCGGAGGCCGTCGAGGCGCCCGCCGATCCTCAGTCGGAGCCGCGTGAGAGCCCTCGCGATGGATCCCCCTCTCAGCTGCCGCCGCCGCCGCCGCCTCCTAGGAGGGACGGGGACTCGAGGGATAGGAAGGGCGACTGGCCCCCGAGCCGGCGCGAGGACCACCACGATTCCAGAAGCAGCTCGCCACCTCTCCCCCCGCCTCCGGCGTCGGGGCGGCCAAGGGGCGAGAAGGATCGGGAGTACCGTAGGCGGAGCAGCCCGAGCCCGCCGCCTTACCGTGACCGTCGACGCTCGCCTCCCCGCCGGTCCCCTCCGCCTGGATCCTTTAAGCGAGCCAGGAGGGATGATGGTGGATACGACCGGCGCCGGGGTAGCCCGAGAGGGGGTTATGTTCCAGATGACAGAAGGTGAACAAGAAATTTTTGCTTCCTTTTGTATTAAATGTTAGCCTCCTGCAAATAATTCATTCTTGGTGGAATTCGGTTCTTAAGCCTCTAAAAAATGCAAATAATTTGCTTATAATTGCAGATACGGTTATGATTATGGTGGCGGTTATGATCGAGTTGGCTCGGGAAGTAGAGGTGGGTATGGGGATGAAAGGCCTTATGGTCGCCATATGTATCGTTCATCAGGTAACTGTTTATTGGTACTTGCTGATGGACTTGAATTGCTGTAGAAATTATTACGATGCAAAGGTACACTGAAAAGTACTATGCTTTTGAACTCTCTTCTGGTTAGTGGGTGAGTAATCTATGATCATGTTGGTCTCCAAACCAAGGAATCAAATGTCGGCTATATCTGTTATTATATATGGGTATTTACTGGTCCAATCAAGGACCTGTGTCGGACCATATGAGACGGTGCTTATTGGTCTTTTTTGTTATTTTTAATGATACGGGGGGTTGGGTTGGCATACTGCTCAATATGTTGGTACTATACTGGTCCAACAAATTATCCAAACATATTCGACATTAATAACAATAATTTCTCTATTGCATTTCATAGGTGGAGTTCCTATCCAAAGACAAGCTTGTAAGGAATTTATGTTGAGAAAGTCCTTGTGGGTGTTTGTGTGCTAAAGGGTGGCATTTCCTAGGTTTTAAAAAAAAATGATGCACAGTCCATGTAGTTCTCTCATATCTAAGCCTCATTTGACAATGTTTTGGCGTAATTCAAAAACTCATACTATTTAAGTTTTAAAAGTTGTGTTGGTGGATATTAAGTAAAATTGGCAAAATGTTTTTTATTGCATTTCTTCTGAAAATCATCAGATTAATGTTTGTGACTTGCTTAATTTATAGGCTCTAGGACCATTGTGTCTATGTGTAATTGCATTTGCAGCTCCTGTTCCTGTTTCAACAACTTAGTAGTGGCTAGAGCAGCTATTTGTCATGCTCACCACTGGCACAGCTGCCATCACTTTTATTGATTTTTCCACAGGTCATGTCAGAATTCTTTCCTAATACAAAAATAACAAACCGTAATGTTCCAAATATCTGGGATCATAAGGATCTTTTCCTATCATTAAGCTCTACGTACGACAAAAAAAAATTCTTGTGTAAGGAAAAAATCTTCTCTTATAATGCATGAAATTTAACTTATGTTCTCTTAGAATTTCTTGAGGAGCAATGCACAGTTGGAAATCAAATAACAATAATCAAATGAGAGGTTAGTTAATCTGAAGTAGTGATGTAGGTATAGATGAATGAGCATTGGATCTTAATTCTTTTCTTTTTACCATAGCTTATAAGCATAAACACGGTTAGAATAAAGGAACTGTTACGTACTGATGGTATACATTAAAAGACCTTTCTAATAAACAGAAGTTTGAAGTTCAAGATGAATTAGTTTGACAAACAATTTGACCCTGAAAATTATCATACTGTTTGATTGAAAAAATGAATCAAAGAGAAAATAATTACCTCCTGGTTGATCCCAAAACAATATCACTATTGAACTTAACCTAGAGATCCAGATAAATCCAAATTGCATTCCAGTTTAAATCAATAAAAATTAAGAAAACTTGACTTGAATTACAACTCATTTGAACTCAAATCTTTTTTTAAAAGACTTGGTTTCTTTAAATCTATCTAACTTGTAGTGAACTCAGTTTAAATTTCCAAGTGCACCAACTATTCAATTCATTTCAGCTATAGGTTATATTCAGCTTGATGCTAGTGTTGATCAAGAGCAACTTGCAAAGGGTAGATGTATCCCAGAATTTAGGCTTAGAATCAATTTGAAGACAAGCTTGGTTAATTTTAAGCTTTTCATGGCTATGGTTATTGGTTCAAAGTTGGATTGTATCCTGGTTCTTGAACATTGTATGCATACAAATTGGTATATTATATGCAACTAGATCCAAGCTTTGATTCACCCATTGTAGGGTTTTCATTTTGTTTGGTGTCCTTCAGTCTAAATTTGGTTACATGAGAGACTTTTATTCTATTTGGGAATTGATTTTAACCAAGCTTGATAGAATTGTAGGCCCCATCAAGCTAAGTGGTTTATGCATCTGCTTTAGATTTCTGTCTTGTAAAATATTTTCCATGTATTAGAATCATTTAATGTCAATTTTAAGCATGCACCTTTTGTTGGAGGTGTCTAAGCAAAATAACTTAGTAGTTACTAGTTTAAAATTTGTTCAAATGAATTAAAATGATTTACTAGTTACTATTTAAGATAATATTGTCTTTTGTAAATTTTAAGTTTTCAAATTCTTATGCTTTTCACGTGCATAATCTCCAGATTTGCCTGATTCAGGACATGGTGGTTATGGTGATGGCCCTGAGTTTATTCAAAGGTTTGTCTTTTGTTGTTTGTTTTAACTTAAATGTGGTTTGTTATGGCCCTTAGTGTTGAGTTACTTGAGGTGTATTGTCCTTGTTGTCATATTTCATTATAAGTATCTTTTCTTTTTATGTCTTAGTTTATTCTTATTGATTTTCTTTTGGCATAGGCACATTCATTTTAACTTGTAATATCTTGATCATGATATTATGATAACCTAAAATGTTAGCAAATCTAGGTAATCAATATTTTCTGCAGACGCCCTTTTTTTCAGTCTTAAATTTTCTGACGACACTATTTTGGTATGTTACAAGGGATTATCTTAATATATGTATTTTTTTGAGTAAATTTTAGTTTCTTAAGGTGGTACTTTGTTTTTATTAATGTATGATAATATCTTTCATAATCCTACATTGGTCATTAAGATTGCCCAGAAAGAAAAAAAAAACAAAATAAAAGACATTGTAAGTTCTTCAATATTACTGCTAACTTTTTTTGGATTGAAATCATTCACATTTGTTAGTCTATTAGACTTGATTTGTAGAGTCCTCAAGATAACTGTTCATAGCATTGGCCAATTCTAATGGACTAATGGATCGTCAAATCCAGTTCGTATAAAATGAGGAACAAAGGATTTTGATGTTCGAAAAATCAATAGGATAAAACATAAAGAAATAGAAGGATAGAAAAATGGGAAAAAGTTAAAAAATCAAAATAGTGATTGCAAAGAGAGGAGACCCATCGCATAAGCCACTAGCCATCATATTCATCATATACTTTCATAAATGGTCTGTATTTTGACGCAATAGACAAGGAAGAAGATTGATAAAATGAGCAATAGTTGCAATTATTTTCTTGAGAAGTTAATAGTCATTATCATTTCTTATTTTGTCTATTTTTTCCCTTAATATCTTGGGTTGTTTACAAAGTAATGAGCCTCCTTTGCTTCTCAATCCCAGTTTTTTTTTTTTGTAATTTCTCTGGTTTCCTATCCCTTCTATTTTTTTTTCCTTTTCATCATATTGGTTCTTTGGGCATAAAAGTCATTTGTCCCTTCTATTTATTTTTAAGAGTGAGAAATTAGTTTGGAATTGATAAAAAGTTGACTTCAATCAAGATTAGTAAGTTTAGTTAGGCTTGACTGATTTTGCTATATGAACTCATCATTAGAATCTTTTGCATTATCTCCCTTATCTAGATCTTCAAGTTAATTTTCTATGAACTAGTATTACCAACAGGAATAAGTTTGTAAGAAATTTTCTGTTTTTTTAATTTGGGTGTTCAGAAAAAAAAGATTGATTAGACAAGAATATGAAGATCGTCTCATTGTATCTAGTTGAGCAGCCAAAGCTCTACTTATTAGCTACATATTAAATCCCAACAAGAATATAGTGGTTATTCTTTGCCGTACGGTTACTGGATTTAGAGAAATATAGGAACAGGTTTTATACTTGTGCTACTTGTATGCTTTTAAGAATCATGATGAAGGAAAAGAAAAGGTGTTACACAAATTGTTGGTTAAATTCACTGACTATCAACAAGATGGGTCTAATTTAGTCCATCCCGGGAAACAAGTATCCAAACTTATATGGGTTGGTGTTCCAACAAAAACAGAAAATGGTTTCTGTGCATATTGAAACAAGTATCCAAACTTATAAGGTTTGGTGTTCCAACAAAAAAGAAAAGAAAAAAGGGTTTCTGTGCATATTTTGTAGTTGGAATGACAAAATTGATTGAGGCTTTTGTCGATCTCAGAAGTCAAATTTGACTTGTAATGTTATATCTCATGATTGCATTTATCACCAAATCTTCATTTTTTTTTCTTAATTTCTTCCTCCTTTTCCTTTTCTTGTTTTTCCTAGAAGTATGGCAGCCTGCTGGTGGTTCTTTCAATGTTTTTCTCTGTGTTAGATCCTTCTTGTTTTATCTTCTTTCCAGAGATTTGAATGTGTTATTTTGATGCCAAGTTCCCACCCATCTATTGCTTCATCTCTCTCTATGGATCCTCTCTCTCTCTCTGTTTAACTATATGTTATATATCTCCATGTGCAGAGTCTGTGCCTCTTTTCACCAGGTTAATGAACTTCAAATACAATCAGTAGTTTGTACTGAAGCATTTTTCCATTTAATGGATTTTTGCACCTTTCAAGTCCTTAGTTAACAAGGACCAATCTCATATTATTATAATATCCTGTTATTCTTCCAGGGGAGGTTTGATGTCATACAAGCAGTTCATTCAAGAACTTGAAGATGATATTTCACCTGCTGAAGCTGAGTGCAGGTACATATCAAAAGGAAAATAGTTACCACCTTAAAGAGTGAGTTTTTCAGTGAGCACTGTTGATGATGTCACCAATCTTGCGTCTTTTGGCTAATTCAGTTGTCAGATTGTATTTCCAATTTTTCATTAGATTAGCTTGTAAGAGCACTCAATCATAATTCTGGTTGTTTAGGTACAAAGAATACAGATCTGAGTACATTTCCACTCAGAAGCAAGCTTATTTTGAAGCTCATAAGGAAGAACAATGGTATATAATGCCTAAACCTTTCTAAATATTACTTCATTTTCAGATGCTGTGTATGTGATCTATTTGAAGCCTTTCTTGTACATTGTATAATGATTTTTGACATCCTTATTGGTTAGGCTAAAAGACAAATATCATCCAACTAACTTGGTGGCAGTCATTGAAAGGTTAGTGTTGGTATATGCAACTACTTGGTACTTTAAGCAGATGACAGTTGCTAATTGTATGTCCTTCCAATTTTTTCCTTCTTTCTACTTATTTGCCTGAAGGGTTTGTCCTTCCAATTTTCTTGTGCTTCAACCAGATGAATTTTTATGCTCGTCTTTTTGTCATATTGTTATGCTAGTTCGAATTCAATGTTTCTGTGCTTCTTAAATATTCTTGTTACGACACTTTCATTGTTATCAATGGCTGTTAAATAAGATTACAGGAGGAAGGAACAGGCTAGGTCGATCGCGAAGGAATTTTTACTTGATTTGCAGAGTGGAATACTTGACCTGTAAGATTTTTTTTTGCAGTCCTCATTTATGCTCTTTAAAGGTTTGTCGTGCCATGACTTATCCTCTGCTTATGTTATCAGTGGACCTGGATCAACAGCTTCATCAGCTAGCAAATCTGGAAATGGTAGTGAACCAAACTCTGAAGATGAGGCTGGCCCTAGTGGCAAAAGGAGAAGACACGATAGGGGGCCGGCAAAAGAAAATGAGCTACTTTCTGCCACCCCCAAGGCTCACCCAGTTAGTTCTGAGCCACGGCGAATACAAAGTGACGTAGAACAAGCTCAGGCCTTGGTCCGTAAACTTGACATAGAAAAGGGTATCCAGGATAATGTCCTTTCTAGTAGTGGCCATGATAAGTTGGATGCAGAAAAATCACATGGGGGATCCATGGGGCCAATTGTAATTATACGTGGCTTGGCCACTGTCAAGGGCCTCGAGGGTGTTGAGTTGTTAGATACTTTGATCACTTATCTATGGCGTGTTCATGGCTTGGATTACTATGGCATGTCTGAAGCATCTGAAGCAAAGGGTCTTCGACATGTTAGAGCTGACAATAAGACTCATGATGGAACTAATGCTAGTGCATCCGATTGGGAAAAGAAACTTGATTCATTCTGGCTGGCAAGATTGCAAGGTCAGGATCCGTTGGAAACATTGACAGCCAAAGATAAGATTGATGCAGCAGCTACTGAGGCCCTAGAACCTTTTGTGAGGAAAATACGAGATGAAAAATATGGTTGGAAGTATGGATGTGGAGCCAAGGGCTGTACTAAGCTTTTCCATGCTCCTGAATTTGTTCATAAGCATCTCAGACTAAAACACCCAGACCTTGCGATTGAGCTGACCTCAAAAGTTCGAGAGGATCTGTATTTTCAAAATTATATGAAGTAAGCATCTAGCTGATGCTCTGCCTGGAAATTAAGAACCATAATTAATGGATAATTAATCACTTTGCTTCTGTATTTAATGCAGTGATCCCAGTGCACCTGGTGGAACACCTGTCATGCAGCAATCTGCATCAGTAAGTTTTCTTTCTTTGTTGCTAAGCAAGCATACTTTATTTTGTTCACAAGAGTGTTAATCTATTATTCTTTACTTGCATGTGTTTTATCTTTGCAGTCTTGTAAATTCAATGCACATCTACTGCTTTCAAGGTTTTTTGAGGTTTGTAAAATCAGGATTGATCATTAAAAAAATTGGGAAGCTGAACACGTGCCATTCAAAGAGATTAAAACATCATTAAAAATGAAAAATCACAAAAAGAGAAAATTGGGAGGTATAGAAATTAGAAATATAATGCATAAATTTAAAAATAAATAATTACTACTTTTTTACATAATATATTGTGAATGTTAACATTTAGCTTAACCAAGGATCGTAATTTTATACCGTACTAGAGTTTCGAGCGTAGCTCGGTACGGTATGGTATAGAGTACCGAGCGGTACACCAGGGGCGTCGCCTCCTTTTTCTGCCCGTGTGGGGAGAAGAAACCGAGGTTTCCTTCTCCCCGTGCAAAAAAGGGCGATGAGGCGACGTCTCGTAGTCGCCTCGTTGCCTCGTTCATTTTGCCCACGTGGGGAGAAGAAGCATCGCCTCAACGAGGAGAGGCTTCTTCTCCCCGAGCGGATAAGAAGTCGCCGACGACGCTGAGGCGTCGTCACCTCAAACGAGAAGGAGGTGACATCTCATCTGCGGCGTCCCGTGAGGTAGGGTGGTGAATGATCAGGATCGTCGAGGGAGAGCGGCATCGGATCTCCAAGCTCTCCCTTCTGTTCTCCCTTTTCTTTCTTCTCCCTCGGCTAATACCACTCGATAGTAAGTGGCAATGGTCGAAATCGACCATCACCGATCGATTTAGGGTGGTAACGGGGCGGAAGCAGTCCCAATCGATGGTACCGCCCGGTAGTCCGCCTACCGGTCTGCTAGCGGATCGGTATGTATCGCCTGGTATGGGCAGTATTATTCGAAATTAAAGTCCTTGAGCTTAACTATTTAAGTTTTCTGATTACATTTTGGATTATATTGTTATTAATAACTTTGATTTGATATATGTTGTATATCACTATGTATGAATTCATTATCTTTAGAAATTTTTTATTAACACTCTACCACTTAATCAAATTTTTAGTTGCTATTGGAAATTTGAAGCATGTGCAGTCATTAACTAGGATAATTGGGATTAAGAAAATATATGGTTTGCATCTTTAGAGATGCTGAGAGGAGGGTTGAACATTTAGGTTCAATTGCTGGACATGAAATTTCCGAAAGTATAAATGTTAGATATTTATTATTTAGCATCTAGAGACACTGATGACAATATTGTCTATGCAGCAAAAACACTTGGAAAAAGAAAAAAAGTAATCTTATTAGCCATTTTTAACCCTTCAATGATTTTTAAATTAAAATATTTTGCAGTTTGAAAGCAACACATAGATAGCCAAGTGCTGCTAAATTGTGTTGTTATGATGTGGTCTATCAGAAATTATAAAATAAAAAAATTTACATGAGTGAATTACTTGGGGATGGTTTTGATTGAGGCAAAAGTGTGGTCTGGGCTGTTAGAAAGAATAGAATAAAAATGAATTAATTAGGGATAGTTTGCTTGAGGCCATAAGGGGAGTTCATTTTAGTTGGTATTAATATATTTGAGTTCTTTAAATGCACCAAAACGATATGAGTTAATCCGAATTAATGTTTGCCAGTAGAGGTAAAGGAAGACTTATAGATCTTTGTTAGAAACAATATAAGAAGACTTGATGACTTCTAATTTGACTGGTAATATGTCTCTCATCAATAAAATATCTATGGAGTCAACCTCGAATTTTGGGATTGTATGGTTTGTAGCTGTTTCTCACATTCAAACCTAGTCATTTTTTTTAATTATGTTGTTACAATTTAGTATCTCATGATATTTAATTTTTGCGCTTATTACTTTCCTTTGTTATATAAGATTTTATTATCTGTTTATGTAACTCTTGTTCTGATGCATTTTTTATCCTATGGATTAACTTATATTAATTACTAACCAACCATTTCTTGTTTATATAAGATGCTATTTGTACTAGTTTGGAACTTATGTGCAATTATCACTTGATTTCTATTATCGCATTTTATGTTCTCATAATGCTAATTTTGCTACTTATATACGCTAAAAGAGATATTACGTACCTATGTGCCACAATCATTTACATTTGGATTTCAAAATTGTATTATCATGCTTTGCAACTTTACTGCAGAAGGTGAAAATACAAAGACGGAAAGCATTGTTGGGTGACCGGCTTAGAGATGAACATGGCAACCGCAGGGATCTTGACAGGAATCATAGAGATGGTGACAGGGACGATATGACTGGCAATTCGCCTCGTGATGCCAATGGTGCCATGGAGGGGGAGAATCATGAAAAATCTCCATATGATACCTATGGTGGCCAAGGCTTGCATGGTTCTTTTCCTTCGGATGTTCCTCCTCCACCATTGTTGGTGCCCGTTCCTGGTGCTGGGTGAGTGAGCAGTTTCCAGAGTCTGATTCAACCTGTAACATGGTGTGCTTGTCTGATCATTTAGCATTTTTTATAGCCCGCTGGGACCTTTTGTCCCTGCCCCACCAGAGGTTGCCATCCGAATGCTGAGGGAGACTGGTGGACCCTCATCATTCGAATCTAATGGTGGACCTCGTGGTATCAAAGGAAGACTCGGTCCGCAAGTGAGTGTTCCAGCCCCAATTCTTCCCTCACCAGCATTCCGACATGATCCCCGTCGGATAAGAAGGTTTGTATTGATGCACGGTTATATTACTTGCCTCTCTCAGTGACCATATATCCATGGGGTCAAAAAATGTTTTGTGTTTTCCAACAACAGCCACTGTGTTTTAACATGAACTAATTTTTTTCCTTGTGAAGAAATATTTAGCTGATTAGTATCTTGTATTTGCAGTTATCAAGATCTTGATGCGCCAGAGGACGATGTGACTGTCATAGACTACAGGAGCTTATAGGCTCCCTCATTTCCTGTTCATCGTTTGTGCTGTCGACTCCAAGCTGACTTGTTACTTTTTTTGTAATATGATCACATCTCTTTTGCATGAAGTATTCATTTGTGGGCAGAAGGGATGATGTTACCGAAATGACAATGTTTTGGTTATGCTATTGCCAGCTTTGGATGAGGGATGAGCTGAAGCTGAACAAGTTCTAGGCATGACCAGAATGTCCATGTCAGAGGTCATCTCTCAGTCAAAACACTTTGAATGAATCCAACTGGACTTCGAGTCGATCCATGGTCTTATCTTGCGTGAAGAATTTTGGCTATGGTTATGTGACCGGAATTAATAGCTCAATAATCGATCAATAATTGACAGTATCAGTCACAATCTCATGCTTTCTCAGGTGTGTTGGCATCGGTTGTCATATCCTTCAAAACTGGAACCAACGGACGAGGCCATCTTCATCGAAGGATTCAATGCAAACCGTAACCTACAACTTTGCACAAATACACGCACGCGTCCAGCGCCAACTACGACACGAATACCAGCGCCTGTACACGAAAGGGTTTGTTTCCTCTTTTCTTTTTTTCTCTTTTGTACCACCTTTGACGAAGTCAAAGCCATGTGCGTCACGCGGTCATACGGGCTTTAAGATGATCCTGTCCAACTCCGATTTTGTCGGCTCTGATGTGAATTGTAAGCTTCCATTTAGAGTTGGATATGGAGAGGATCCACATTAGCAACGGGAAATGAACATCTAAAAGTTTGAAATTAATTGGGTAATTGGTATGAAAAAGCCCATCTTCTTTGGTTTTTCTTTCCCCTCGGATGATATCTATCCCTTTTCAGCTTTTGATTTGATGCTTTTATTTTTCTCTAATACTTAAAATATCTCTTTTATTTCTCTTAACAAAATAGTTCTCGTCTATACCTCTGGTCTATAGCGTGTCTTGATCCAACTCGATATATCGATCTATATAGTAATATGATCTGATTTATTTTTTAAAATTAAATCATTATAATATTTAATCTGTACCTTTTTTCCTCTCCTCTCTCAAAGCGGATGAGATATTATGGGGTACGAAATGAGAAAAAAGAATTAAGATATGAGAGGAGTTGAAATAGTCAAAAAGAGCTAACTATTGACGAGGGGAGAAGAGGGATGCATTTGCATTACATGACCAAGAACCGATCCATAGGGGAACCATATTACAAAGGACGGGAGTTGAATTTAATTTATTGGGAATAAAATTAAGTAAATTACAGAAACTTTGGCATACTAAATCGAAAAATTGAAAAGCGATATCAATTAGTTTTTTTCGGAAAATCACCTAAATTAATTTTTATAATTCTATTTAATTTCTCTCTCTTCTCTTCGTTGTCGTCTTCGTCGTCGTCCATCGTCTTCGGTTTTCCTCGCAGCCACAAACCAAACCACAAAACCCGGCGTTTGTTTGTTTCTTCGCCGCCTTCATCATTCCTCCTCCTCCTCCTCTCTCGCCCCCCTCTCTAGGGTTGCTCTTCCCCTTCCGTTCCCCCCTTTTTCTCTCCTCCGTGGCGTTTCTTCTTTTGATTTATCTGTCGATCGTTCCTGTTTTGGCGCGTTCGGAGCCACTCTTTACGATCCGCAGGTGGTAGGTTCGGGTTTCGACTTGGATCGTCTGACGGATGATGCAGATTCTTGACAAGCCGTGATCTCTCGAAGGCCTAATCGGATCGGCTTCTGTTTGTTGTCTTCGTTCGTTGTCTCAAATTCGTCAGAGCAGAGACCGATGGGTCACTTGAGTTCCCTTGGTGGGATTCAGACGGACGCCGCTCCAGTTAGTGGTGGAGGACTCAGGTCCTCTGTTTTTCCTTTTCCTCATTCACAAAAAAAGATATATATATATCTTTTAATTGTCATCTTGTTTTGTTTCCATCAGCTATCTGATAATCTCAGCTTCTGTTTGTGGTTGATCTTTAGATGGTAATGTTCTATGAAATGCTTTTCTTGTTATCTAGACCTAACTAATGTATTTTTTCAAAGGAATTTGTGTGGATATGAGCAGTGACTTGTTGCAGATGATATTCTAGTGTCATGTTAGCTTCTTCCAGACGATAGTCTAGTGTCATGCTTTGCAGATTTTTGTGACATAATGATGATTTTATATTTCATAAGAAAATAGTTTGGCTATACTGCTTTGAAATTGGTTGAATAAGATGTGCGGTCAGAAAGTTTTAAGTTTTTATTTAGATGATGTACTTAATTTTCTCTCTCCGTCTCTCTCCCTCTGTAAATTTGGGTATGATGAAATTGAAAGATGTTGGATCACACAAGACAGATTCTGTGTTTGTTTGTGCTATTGAGCATATTATTTGTGTCAGGGCATTGTGTTTCTTAACAAGCTATGACAAGATAGTTAAAAGTTCAGCTGGTCATGTTGCTAATTAGCTAACGTATTCAATTCTTGTTCTCTTCATTGCAGTCAGAATGGGAAGTTCAGTTATGGGTATGCAAGCTCTCCTGGGAAAAGGGCTTCAATGGAAGACTTTTATGAAACAAGAATTGATGGTGTTGATGGAGAAATTGTTGGCTTGTTTGGAGTTTTTGATGGTAAGGTATTCCTTCCCCTTAGGAAAATACAAAAAACTTGGGTTTAAAACTGTTCAGGTATATACCTGTAGGTAGGTGATGTGTCCTATATCTTTTGCATTTTATGCAAAAATGGCCATAGTGCACTGACTGTGCTTTTGTCCAGGGATTTCACATGCTTATCACATGTCTAATGCTTGATCTCTTAAATTGGAAAGTTTGATATATGTACAATGCCCTAATCTTTGGCATACATTCAGGTCATGGTGGTGCTCGAGCGGCAGAGTACGTTAAAGCGCACCTCTTCAGCAATTTGATTAGACATCCCAAGTTCATTAGTGATACCAAGTCAGCTATAGGTATTTCCTTGTTCGCTATTTTATGATGTGTTTATCTTTTATCTTGGTTTTTTGTCAGCATATTTAGTTATCTAATCAATTTGATCTGGTCTGTTATCTTGCAGCTGATGCATACAGCCATACAGACTCAGAGTTTCTGAAATCTGAGAATAGTCAGAATCGTGATGCTGGCTCAACTGCTTCCACTGCCATCCTTGTTGGCGATCGTTTGTTGGTTGCAAATGTTGGGGATTCTAGGGCTGTTATATGTAGAGGAGGGAAGGGTAAGCCCAACAAATATGATGCATCTTTATGTTAATTTGTTTCCATAGATATGAAATCAAAGAATGTAGATTTTGTTGGCTTTATATGGACATTTTGCGCATCATATAGTACTTATATGAAAGACTGCCTGTACCAGTAAATATTTATTTATTATTATTTTTTCTAGTGAATTCAGTGGTACAAGTTGGTTATACCATTTGGTATACTGGCATCATATGGGTTCAGCCAGCTGTAGACTTGAAATTCAAAAACCTTTTTTCGGCCACTGTATAAGTTGCTGAACAATTATTAGTCACTTGCTGTTTATAGATGTGTTTTATGCATATCAACAATAGGAAAGACAGTTGTTGTACCTTAATGTTGATATGTTTTATGCATATCAACAATTGAAATATGAGATAACTGTAAGAATTCTCTTACGGGGATATAAGTATAGTTTCGGACAAAATCGAGTGGTTTCACTCCATTTGTGTACCGGTTGGCTGTTGAGCCGGTAAATACCAGTTCATATCGACTGATATGCATGAATATGAATCCATGATTGTACAATAGAAATTCATAACAATGTCTTGTATTTTAGGTAAGATATGCATTTCACTGAATGGCTCAACCATTGTTTTCCAATCAATTATAGTCGAAAAAGTCTTATTTGTGTTTCAATAGTTTTTAATTCTTTTCATGACATAATAATATATCACTCCCAGGAACCAGCATTCTCTTTTTTTTTTGTTTATGTAGAAATCAGCTCTTAAAAGTTAAAAAGATATCGCATTCATGTGTCAAAACCAACACGATCAGTAAGAAAGGTTTCCTTATCTGTAATCGAGTCTTCAGGTTGTATTTCAAGTTATTTTTGTTGTACTGTTGTTGCTGACTATGACTCCATAGGCAAATTAAAACTTCGGAGAGGATTAAAATTCACGACTGTGTTAAAGGGTTATCATAAATATTTACCTAATCTGTTACATATTTCTTCTTTTCTTATTATAATAAAAGAAGTTGGAGTTTCCTTTTTTAATCATAAAGAAAATGCTAGTTGAAAGTAAATGAGGCATGGAAATGGTCATGGGATATGGACAAGCAGACCTGGTAAATTTTGAGAACCCACTAGTATGAATAACTGTTAAGCACATTGGTATGTTAGATTTTATTTTCTGTTCTGAAAAGCCATGCTTTACCTCTCATTTCTCTTCCCAGAGTTGTATTTACAGTACAAATGCCTTGTAGTGTCGCCAGCCTACTTTGGTTTATAGCCAGCTTGCAGATGGATTTTAAGTTAGTGTACAAGTAAATTTACTGTAGATGTTTTGGAGCTCTGATCATCTGAAATGTGTGGTCTGTATTTCACTGCATGAGGAAGCCAAGAAATTTTGCATATCTAGAACAAGGGACAGGTTATGTTGGGTCAGGTTGATACAGGGTTGTAAAAGAACAGACTGACTTTTCCAGACAAACCTACCGGTCAAGATTTATTGACCTGGGGCCAACTTGTTTAATTAGCAGGTTAGAGTTAAAATGTGCCAAATCAGCAGGTTTAGTTTATTAGAGTTATTATCATGGAAATACATGTGATCTGATACCCACTGATCAGACAATCAGATATTGGGTCTAAGATCTTTTGAGACCTGACCTGCCATCAAGAAATTAATTTTTTGACCTAAACTTGAGTCATGAACCAATGGGTCTTCTTCATTGGGTCTGGTTGACATGTAGCTTTCCAAGTGCTTGAAGGTTATGAAATTTATACCCATAGGCTAGTTTTTTCCATTTATGCTTTTAAGAAGCAAATTTTAATCATTATGTTGTTAGTTTTATCAGTTATATTTGGTATCTTAGCCACATAGCTTGTTTTGTTTCCTTAGATTTTTATACATGGATTTTTGTAGCATTTGCTGTCTCAAGGGATCACAAGCCTGATCAAACAGATGAGAGACAACGGATTGAAGATGCTGGAGGCTTTGTTATGTGGGCTGGTACTTACTTTCATCTAGAATTCATTCTTCCTTCTCTGTCACTTAAATCCTAACAAATCCATAAGCGCAGGGACATGGCGGGTTGGTGGTGTTCTTGCTGTATCACGTGCATTTGGTGATAGGCTCTTGAAGCAGTTTGTTGTTGCAGACCCAGAAATACAGGTATTGATGCTTAATTTCTAGTAAATTATCATGTCGTCCTATAATCTGTATATTGTTATTATACATTGATCAAAAAGGATAGTAGCCTTCTCCTATTCTCTTTAAATCTTGTAACGGTAACTACAGGAAGAGGTCATTGATAATTCTCTGGAGTTTCTTATCCTTGCAAGTGATGGATTGTGGGATGTTGTCACAAATGAGGTAGTTTTACACTTTTGATTGATATGACACTCCCGAGTCATCAACTAAATCTCTCTTTTCTTGGAACATCGTTAGGAGGCTGTAGCCATGATACAATCCGTAGAGGACCCAGAACAAGCGGCAAAGAGACTGTTACAGGAAGCTTATCAAAGAGGAAGTGCAGACAATATCACTTGTGTTGTGGTACGTTTCATTGCCGGCCAAGAAAACACCACAACAGTGCAGCAGTAGTGCTCACTGCTGCTTAGTTCTCAGTGACGGAAACATTTCTGAGAAGTCAGATCAAACTGGAAGAGGAATAGATCGAAAAGCTACAGAGCTGCCAAAAAGAAAAACGATGGTAAATCTTTTGTTTGCCTGCAAAAGAAGGTTCAGTTGTGTTTCTGACCTACTGAATTGTGTTGTAGCAGAATTGTAGTTTGGAGTGTATTCAGGAGGACCTTTCTACATGTAATATACTGCCTAATGTTTGAGTGCATCTACGTGAATCTCTGCAACCAATGTTAAAAATGGCATGTTGGGAAATTGTTGGAAGGTAATTAAACTGATCTTTCCTCTTAATTCTGCATTCTTTGGTATGTGAATTAGAAGAGGATGACTGTTATGGGAGACTAGTGAAAGTATGTTCGGATTCGACTACTTCATTCGGAAAAATTAATCTTTCGCTCTATGTGATGAAGAAATTAATCAGAAATTTCAAAGACAAAATTGCCAAGCCTGTTTAGTTCACATAAACAATCAGGTTTGATGTACTGATGTATACCGCTTGATACAGATAATATGTATCGATCTGATAGGATATTAGTATGTAGGTCATTTTCTATCGGGTGGTACCGATCACTTGATCTTATATCGAGAGATACGTGGTTTATACTGGGTGATAACAATCTAAATTCGATCGATGTGCTCGGATTTCGATCGTTACCAACTTGTATCGGACAGTAACATTCTCCAATTCTATAACAAAGATTCAAAGTCGATGTTAGCATGAATCGAAGCTAAAAGGATCCTTTATTTCATGAGGCAAGAGATCCTCAACATCATTCATGTTTTATCACCGAGACAATAGAAGAAGCCGAACGACACCAAGTTATACTGCTCTAAAAACTAGAGACATAATCGTCATAATAGTCTGCCCAATGTACAAAGGCAAAAGGGAAGATAGCATCACTTGCAGTGTTGGAAATAATTGAGTCAAGTGATGGGACACCTTCATAATCACATTCAACAACTCGCTCGATCCAGACATATAGTAGTGCTGCTCGACCAAGCCAACACCCGAGCCACGCCTCGTGACTAGTCCAATGTTCGAGTCACGTCTTGGCCAATCCAATGCCCCACGCCTCATGGCCAGTCAAATGCCCAAGCCACGCCTCGTGGTCAGTCCAATGTTCGAGTCACGCTTGGCTGGTCCAATGCCCGAGCCTTGCCTCGAGACCAATCTAATGCTTGAACCATGCCTCACGACTAGTTCAATGCCTAGTCACCCCTTGTGGCCAGTCCAATATCCGAGTCACGTCTCGATCAATCTAGCGCTCGAGTAGTGTTGCTCGACCAGTCCATCTCTTGAATAGAAACTCCTAATCAACCGACGATCGAATCACCAGTCCTAGCACGACAGCCAACCTAGCCAACAAAAGGCACCAAGCTATGCCTCGAGCCCCACCACAAGGAACCCGCGGCATGCCTCTTTTGGGGGGGAGAGAATGATAGAGCATATTTTGGTATCACCTACGTGGACCCAATTTTGATATCACCTACGTGGACCCAAGCAAGTAGACATGATGATGCAGATGAGGAACTTCAAGTATGATGTGGCATGCAACACACACGTGACGGGCAGTCACTTACCTCCCCCTCTGTATGAACGACATCATCACGGTACAACCATCCCGGAAACTCAAGGCGACGTCGATCCGTGCAAGCCGATCGGCGCTTGCGTAGAAGCTTAAGCCGGTCGCCCGAGGAGCCGACCGTAGTTAATTGACCTCGTACGACTGATTCATCCTCGTAGGTATAAAAGCTAATCCTCCTTAACCATGAGGGGGGAGGACTTTTCATATATTCAACTCACTCTTATTCCACTCAACGCTAACTTAAGCTTCAAAGGAGTCGAGTCGAGAAATCCCCCTCTTAACCTTGACCTATGTGCAGGGGCTGACGACGAAGAAGCAAGCAACAAGACTCATAGCTCAACTCGATCCGATATGCATTTCCACTTCTCAAGTCTCCGCATGGGCGACCTTGCACATACGAGATCGGACCGAGCTGTGCTGACTTCTCGACCACGACGTAAAGGTTCACCAACAACGTTTTAAATCCAAATGTTTTATCTATTTATAGATTTTATAGATAAGAACAAAAAATCTATAATAAATAATTAAAAGAGTTGTGGGGCATGACTATAATTTTTTTTATAGTCATCTTTCTTTTCTATAAAATATCCACTCAACATGGGCTTTACATTATCTGATACCACGGCCAAGAAGCCAGCAACGGTCAACGATTCAGACCAAAAACCACTTTGGCACACGACCGCTCTACAATGGTTGACCATTTAACAAAAGATGGCTGACCTTTGGGTTCCCCTAACTGTGACGATTGCACGTGAAAATAACGTCGAATGCGCATGGGCCCCACGGTCTCCTCCAATTGGAGTGTGGTTTACGTATCGACGGTACCTTTCGCTGTTCGCAAGACAGAAACCTCTCTCTACCCGTCTGCACCTTACTCGCTAAGATGGTCTCACGTGGGCCCCTTTGTTACCTCCGACCACGAGGTGGATATGAGAGCGGGTAGCGAACCAAAAGGGTGGAAAAGTAATTCTCTTCGTAAGAACGGAACGGGTCAACGACACCATGGCATGAGTTGGTCCCTTTCCACTATGCCTCGCGGGAATAACCCTAATGATTCAGAGCACGAATCGGCTCTCGAGGCTTGAAGCAACCGGGAGAATCCTCGTCTCTTCTTCTCCTCACCCTTTTGCCCCTCTCCGATCGAAGGATCTTTGGTACATTGCGGTAGGTGTTTGTTCTGGATCCTAAGGAAACCAAGATCGATTCTTTTGGGATTCGTTTGATGTTATTGTTCGCTTTTCGTTGGTGCTATTTTAGTTTTTGGGGAAAAGGAAAATCGTGAAATCTACAAGAAAAAAATGTCTCTTTTCACGGTAATTTTGGTCTCGATTTTCGTTTTTCGATGCTAATATAGTTCATAAGAAATAATCCATGGAGAATATTTGCTGCCGACTTGCAAGTTCTGTTCTTCAGCCAAAATTAGCCAAATGAGGGTGAATTTGGTCTCAAATTTTGCCTTCTTGGATTTGGGGTGTGTAAATTTGGCGGAACTGATTTGGTTATTGTACTGGGAAATCGCAAGAATAAGATATTGATAGCGTCGGATCAGTATCAGCTTTCAGATGTATGTCACGGAAGCTCAATTGCTTTGGTTATGGAGGACCCCCAATCTGTCATCTTTGACTTACAGAAGCATGAGAGAGCTTGGTAAACATGAATTCGGAATTAATGTCCTTGTCAATATGATTTTTAGTTTGTTCATATGAAAATGGCATTGAATGTGTGTTTTGTTTTCTTTTTTCATGCATATTAGAGGTATGTGTGTTGGAACCTTTTTATCTAGTATTTTCTGATCTTCATATAGACAAGTTGAAGGGTAAAACGTAATCATTCTAATTATATTCATCCGTTAAATTTGGCTGAAAAATATAAGTGATTTATTTTGATATAACCATAAACAACCTGGATGGCATGTTGAATTTTCATTCTGTGGAATTGTCGATGCCAATGTCCTGACTTTGCTAAAGCAATATATTATGGAAGTCACCTGTTACTTGGTTGGTGTAATTATTGTAGTTTTCTCTTAATGAAATTGACTGTCTTATGCAAAGAATAATTACGAACATGAAATGATCTGGTTACAAATTTAAAAAGAAACACAAATTTGGAGGAAGTATGCAAATGAGATGTGGTTTGATGATTGCTTACCACACTTTTCTTCTCTCATAGCGCGGACAAGTTTTCTCTTATCTGACATTTGGTGTCAAAAAAAAAACCTAGATTGACAATGAAAATGTGTAACAAAGGTCCATTGGTATTTGTTGCTCAGAATCTACGTCTTCTTCAACAAGGTGCTCATACAATAAGAATATATACTCACAACAATGTTCAGTCCATTTTGACGTATTATCTCATCTTCCATAAATTGTATTCATTCTGCAGCTGTGCCATTCGAGTATGACAGCAATTTGATGTGAAGATAAAAGACAAGGAAAAAAAGCAATTCTGTTTGGATTTTTGTCCTATCATACCTATTGGAAGAAACACAAATTAAACTCTATCATACTCCTTCCATTTAGTTTTCAATGCCATGCATGCTGATGAAATGTTCATTTGAAGTCATTTAAATAGCTACCATGACAACAAGAACCATTAGAAGGCGGCTTCATCATGGAGATGTTGATGGAAGGAAAAGTGAGTTTGTGGAACCATCAAGATTTGATGTCCAAAATGAACCACTACTTGGAAATGACAACCATTCAGACAATTATAAGGTAAATACTATATTTTTCTAATTACTTGGAAATAACAACCATGTAGTTCATTAAAAGGTAAGTGCTATTTTTCTAATATTAGGAAGTGAAAGTTTGACTACAAGTTCTTATTATTCTTTTTTATGCGTAACCAGTTGTTTATTCTTCAAAGGGATATGATGATAGACACAGACAAGATTGGGATGACAAAACAAAGGAAGTAGACCTTCACTGGACCTGCCTTTTGTCCAATTTGACTGTTCAGTGGTCTCAATGGTTAGGTATCATCTATGTTATGCACCATGCTCCATCAATGTCAAATCACTACTCAAATTAAATGTTTTGTGCTATTCTTTCGGCATGATGGATGATTTACCTGTATGTTAATATCAAAGTTACTGGCTTCATATGATTGAGGCATGTACTTTTCATGCATGTTCAATTTGTTGCCCTTCTGACTTACAATCATAGCAAGAAGATTTGAGCATTTTAAGCTACTACATTTCAGTTACAAAAAATAAAAAGCAAAGTAGAAGTATTACCAAGAGGATTTTTGAGATATATAATCATTCCTCTTCCTACTACGCATAGTGGTTTGCATTCCTCTTCCTACAAGAGGTTCTTTACTGGAATTTGCAAGGTGTATCCTATAGGTATATGACACAAAAAAATTCTACATAACTGGGGATTCCTTTTTAATTTCTTTTCCACAAGAAAAAGGCAAGAAACTTTGATTGCGCTTCTTAAAATTTTCCTAATTTTTAAGTTGTAGCATAATACATGGAAATCTAGGAAAGCAGATGGAACTTTGCCATCGTCTGACGGTACTTCAGTAACAAGCAAACACTGTATGCCCGATTTCATTTCCTTTCTCTTCATGATCCTCTTTGTCCATGTGGTTCAAATGATCTCATTTTATTGCTATGGGCCATTGCTTTTTTGGATAAAGAATCTTTAGATTGTCCTAATAGAAGGTTTCTTCGTCTTTGTTCACTTAAACATCCAATGATCAAACCTCAAGGTGACATCTTCTCTCTAAACATGACGTCTCTAATTATTTTATGGAAATTTCTAAATTAGAATGCATATTATCAGCAAAGCATATGCAAATTTGTGATTAAAATGTACAACCTGCAATATGCATGTCTAGGAGGACAGGGATTACATCTTGCTGTGTGTTGTGTGACAAAGCATGAACAAACTCTAGGCATCATCTATAAGCTGCCATGTCATATGTTCAGTTTTGGGTAATTGCTCATATAAAACTTTTTCTCAAATAAGAATTTGACGCATCTTCATAAAGTTAATGGAATAGATTGTCCATTTGGAATACTCAATAATTGGGGCTTGAGGAAGTTGTGTTTGTCATTGTAGAAACTTGAAAGCTGTAGCCATTTTTGTTTTCGGCTCTCTTGATTATGACAAAACAAATTTCTACATTTTCTGCCACTAATAATTATTTTATTTTCAGCAAGTATTGCCCGTGGCTCTGGATCTGTTTTAGGAAGGTTATTATCACTTTCTTCTATTACAAGTGTACAATTTGTCCCAATTTGTCTTACTCCATTGCAGGTAAACTGAAGAGCTTTCTGTTTCTGTAATTTCACTGAATCATGATCGTGATTAATGTCAACAGAAATCATTATCGATCTTTTATGGAAAAATCATTTTTTTAAGATTTCTGATTTTTATTATAGCAGTTTGGACCTTGGAATCTGAATCTATCGAAGTATTAATTTCTTTCGAATAGCATGTAGAATATATTGCAGATGAACTCTTAGTTATAGTATTAACACTATTGTTTAAACTTGTGAACATTCCATCTTTGAATCAACAGCAACAACATTTATAGCCAGAAGTGAAACAATCTCTTACTCTGTTAATGTCTTTCATATGACCTTTTCATCCTTGCACATGTTAATGCATTTCTTCTGTTTGAAGGGAAATGATCGAACACCATACAATTAATCAATAGGACATATTCACTACACATTGTATACTCAAGAATCATTGATGAACTTTTCTGCAAATGCTTTTTCTCCCATATATTTTTAATGTATCCAACCTTGCAGGAAGAAAGATTGAGAAACCTGAGGCGGAGACTGAAGGTTCGGTTTGATGGTTCTCATTTGGATCATCTAGTATGTATTGCTTCTGGATTTGCTAATGGTTGACATTTTACCTTCGTTACCTTTTCTATTTCTTGTCATAACTCTATTGATTGAGCAAGCCTGATTTGGAAACTTTTGGAAGTCTCAGATGGATCTGTGTTGCAGGATGCTCTGAAACAGCTTTGGCAGTCATCCTACCCTAATCGAGAAGTTCCCCCGTTTAAATCTGACTCATGGAAGGAAATGGGTTGGCAAGGTTGTGATCCATCAACCGATTTCAGGTAAATGTCAAACCAGGTATCTTTCGGGCTTCAATTACCTTGAGATTATAAAAGTTGAAGTGATCTATAGTAAAAGTAATGCTCAATTCTGCTCTCAGGGGTGGTGGCTTTATATCATTGGAAAACCTCATCTATTTTGCCAAAAACTACCCGGTCGCCACCTTTTCTTTGGCACTGTCATTCGCCTCTAGGATTCATTTTCTTCCCTCCATTTGTCATATAACCATAACGATCAGGCATTGATATCCTGAACCTTCTATTATATGATGCAGAATTCTTTCCAAATGCTGTTGCACAAATCAGAAGGTAGAAGAGCTGAGTGGGAGTATCCTTTTGCCGTAGCTGGCGTTAATGTATCATTCATGTTGATTCAGATGCTAGACTTGCAGTCAGGTATGTCATCGACTGCCATTTGGGAGACTTATGCTTGCTATTGGTGTTAAAGCAGCCTGTCCTTATTTCATCTCAGATTTTCCATCTTCAAAAGCAGGAGTTCGTTTCCTGGGACTGCTTGGAAACGATGAGAAAGCATTTGATAACCTCTATTGTATAGCTTTCTGTATGTTGGATGCTCAGTGGCTTGCAAGACATGCTTCTTATATGGAGTTCAATGTAATTACCTGCTCGCCCTGCATGTGTGTGTGAGTTTATTGATTTTTGCCTCTGATTTCCATGTCTTGCTTCGCTCCAGGAGGTTCTGAAGTTCACAAGAATTCAGTTGGAGCGCGAACTTGCACTGGAAGACGTTACCAGCATAAAAGACTTGCCTGCATACAACATGATTATATAGTCTTTTTTTCAGATCCAAATTTGAGCTATCAATGCGGGATTTCGAAGAATCTTTATGGAGACCATCACAATGCATAAAACAAACACAATTGTAAAAAAGGATAGTGGTGCTGATTACAAAAATAAGTTCTTTTCATCTTTTTATTTTTATTTTTTGTATTTGAAAGGTCATCTGTTTTCTGCTAAATATGAGCAGTATGTATTCAACAAAATTGCTTTAATGAAGTGACAGGTTGACGATCGGTGCTCATTGTATGATTGATATTAGTCTGTAGTGTGAAACATTTTGACTTGATTATGTTAATTAAGAGTGCAATAACTGTTTTTCTTGAAGATGGAATAGACACAAAAAATATGGCAAAGCAATTGTCTTAAGGGTTGGAATGGCATTAATGGCAGTGAACAAATAGCTACAGGAATGCTAATGTTATAATGGCAAAGAAACACTCAGAAAATGATTGAAGACAACCCTAATGTGATTAATATTCCTAAGGTGGTACCAAAAATTCATCAACCTGAATCATGCATTTGAAACCAGTTATAATTGAGTCTTGCTGTTGTTTCTCAAAGGTCTTCGTGTACAAGCTAAAACCTGCAGTCAAAATGGATTATGAGCATATCATTAAAGCATAAAAACTCTTGGCTTGACTATAGGCAAAACAATTAAGCATTATGTTCTATAAGTAAAAGTTCTACTTAGAAAAGGTTACCCTAATAAGCAAGTTAAGACCTTTGGAATTCATGACATTTCCACATCATGCTGAAGTGACATGATGAATATATGAATAATTGATTGACTACTGAATAGCTTTAAATTAGTTCAGTCATGGAGAATTATTTCAATCATCATTCAGTCTCGGGAAAACTCATGAAGATTGGTTTCCATTAGCTTTTTAATGCTGCTGAGAGAGAGCGAGAGACTTACAGTCCTTTAAGCCAGATACAGTGAGGTAGCATCAGCACTAAGAGGGGATGGAGAAAACCATGACATTTGTTGTGTTGCCTCGGCAAAATTGCAGTCATGTCTCGATTTACTAGGTCAATTGTCAAGCATGAAGAGGACAATGCTGCTAAATCAACCAATCATTCTCCTTGTCTTAGAGATAGCTGGTGGCAAGGGATGATTAGATCTCTCATTTTTCGTCGTGGAGATAGACACGATGATAATAAATGTAGAAGTTAATACTCCAAGACAAACCAATCATTCTCCTCGTCTTATAGCATTTGTATCTGAATGTGTTAGCAAGGGATGATTAGATCTCTCATGTTTCCTTCAATCCTTTTCCATGATTCTGTACCTCAGAAACTCTGACATTATGGTAATATGGCTTCTTTACAACTTAGATGATTAAATCTGAGTCATAAAAGTAATCATATTGTTTGTATGAATGGGAAGGAGTTTTCCATATTGCATCATCATTTACTTATGTCATGGTCAAATGCTTCATAGTCATCTTTCCTTACCCTATCTGATCATGTCTTGCATTTCAAATGTGAGAACTTGGAATTTCCAGCCAATCATATCATCCACCATTTACCAAAACTCTCCGCAGGAGCATGCCCCATCTTTGAAATGGTGAAACCTCATATTATCCCTCACCACAATCTCCCTGTTCACAGCCCTTGACGCAAGGCGCATCACCAGATGACAGTCCTCACAAATCCTCAGGTTCTTCACAATCCTAATTGTGTCCCCAGCACCAGTCGTCAACAGGCCAAATGCCAAAGCCAGCTTCTCACTGTGACCCTTTAGTAACTTTTCCTTCTCATTATCATTAATATCATAAAGAACTGAGCTCAATACTGGATCATAACCTTCTAGTTTCAACTTCCCCAACAGATCCTCTAAAGTATCCTTTATCTCATGTGTTCTTGGGTGCAAACCATCCCCTGCAAAAAATTCATGGACTGACCCATCCTTATCTTCTGTCCAGCTTGCAGATGGGTTCTTCTTCAACCCCCTTGCTCTCATCAACTTCCTAACCTTTGACACCTCATCCCACATCCCTGCAGATGCATATGTATTTGAAAGCAACATGTAGTTGCCAATTCTATCAGGTTCAAGCTCAAACAAATGATTCGCAGCAATTCTAGCTATATCAGGTTTAACATGAATCCGACAAGCTCCCAGTAATGCACCCCACACACCACCATGTGGCTCCATTGGCATTGACCTCACAAGCTCGAGAGCTTCTTCAACAAGTCCAGCGCGTCCCAACAAATCAACCATGCATGTATAGTGATCAGGAGAAGGAACAATCCCATACTCATCCTTCATTAAATGGAAGTAGTATCGGCCTACCTCCACCATCCCACCATGGCTACAAGCTGTGAGCACCCCAATGAACGTGACATGGTTTGGCTTCACATCTGTCTTCCCCACCATCTCCTTAAACAAAGCAATTGCCTCATGAGCTCTGCCATGTGCTGCAAGTCCGACGATCATTGCACTGTATGTGTACACATTCCGGTTCATCATTTCATCGAACATCTGGCGTGCCTCATCGATGAGCCCACACTTTGCGAACATATCTACCATAGCCGAACCCATGACCACAGTCTGCCGGAACCCAGTGCCGTCCACAATATCCCGAATCCAGACGGCATGCTTTGCAGCACCCAACTGTGCAATAGCAGAAACTGCGCCAACCAACGCAACCTCGTCGATCACAACACCCGCTTCACGCATTCTCTCGAACGTTGTCAGTGCCTTTTTAGGCATGGCATTCTGAGCGTATCCGGTGACCATCGCCGTCCATGCCACCATATCTTTTGCAGGGGATCTTTCAAATAACCCTTCTGCAGAAGAGAGGTCGCTAGTTTTTGTGTAAGCCACAGTCAACGAAGTCCAAGAAATGGCATCCCGAATGGACATTCCGTCAAACACCCTATGAGCCGAGGCCAAGTCACAGCATTCGACATACATAGAGATGAGCGTGTTCTGGACGAAGAGGTCGGCGTCAAAGCCGCCCGTGGAAATGGACTGGGCGTGTATCTGGAGGCCATTGGCGAGGCATAGGTCGGCAGCGGCAGACTTGAGGAGGGCGGTGAAGGTGAAGGAGAGCGGAGGCGAGGGAGGCCATTGGCGGCGCATGAGGGAGTAGAGCCGGAGGGGGTGGTAATCGGGGAGGCGAGGTCGGAGAATTACGGCGGAGTGGATAAGGGCGGTCCAGAGGAAGGGGTTGGGGCGGGGAACAAGGGAGAAGAGGCGGAGGGGGTAGGGATGGAGGGGAACGCGGTAGTGGGAGAGCCGGCGGAGGAGCTTGGCGACGAGGAAACAGCGGTGGTGGAGGCCGAAATGGAGTATGACAGCGTGGACGGCCCGGAGGTGGCGGGGGCCGGCGGCGGCGTCGATGGCGGCGACGAGGAGGGCGTCGAGTGCGGGAAGGGGGAGGAGGGGTGACGGGGCCGGAAGCGGGAATGTTGGGGCCCGCATAAGCCCGACGGGGTCGTGTACGAGGAGGCGTGTGATGATTGGCTGAGATCGCGCCATGTTGGGCACGTCGATATCTCATAACCTTTGTTCCGCGGCTATTTATATTGGTGAGGACGGGTTCCGAAACTTTCACACTTAAGCCCTCCAAATAAATATATTTTTATTTTTGTTCCTCATCAGTTTAAAATTTACATCTACAGTCTTATATATGTAAGTTTTACATATACGTCCCTATACCCTTTTTTCCCATTTTAATACATTATTTTTTGAAATAAATTTTGTTAATTTAAATGGAATTTTTATTTAATATAATTCCAGAAAAATGTTGGAGAACTGAGATAGTGCTTATTTTCCCATTGCATATGTTGAGTGCATGTTTCATGTGGATTTGGCTCCTAAAGTTTGCATAAAGGGTATTATAGCAAAAAGACAACACGCTAAGCTTGGCAAATGATCGACGGACAGCAAAAGCTAACCATGAAAGAGATGTTCTCTTCTCTCTCTCACACACTAGAGAGAAGATAATGAAGTGCGCCATCAGCTTATTTCTTTCTTCTCACATCAGCTGCACTGTTCTCGGGTGAGAAGGAAAGCCAGAACAAGCAAGAGAAACAAAAGATGGGCAGATCACATATATATTAGAGAGAGACAGAGATAGATAGATAGAGAGCTCTTCGTCTTCGTCGCGAGAAACCATGTAGGGTTTTGTGCTGCGGCTACACTGTGTAGTGCTGCTGCATGGTGTCGATGTCAAGCCCCTTCAGCTTCACCACCGACTCGACGTGACCCTTGAGAGTGTGCAGCTCACGTAGCCTGAGAGGAGCGATCAAGAATGGCGAGATTAGAGTCACGTACAGCTTCATGATCACGGCTGAGGTTTATGGGGTGACTGCCACATACCTTGCGATCTCAGCTCGCCTCTTGGCCTGCTCGGCGATCTCCGATAGCTCGCGGTAGCTGCTCTTGTCGTTGAACAGACTCGTAGTGTCAGGAGGTTGGAGGCCATGAAGAGTCCTCTGCGCAATAGCCCATTGAGCTTCCCTTTCCTCTCTGCCGTAATCCTTCTTTGTCGTGAAGGCAGTCTGACATGGGAAAATAGCAGAGAAGACTCAGACCGGTTGAGTACTGCATCAATCAACACAAGTCTCAGAGAGATGGCTTCTTTACCTTCCTCTCGAAGAGGTAAGTCCAGGCATTTCCACTAAGAACGTAGCGAATCGCGAACTTGATCCAGTCAAGTGGGATGAAGGAGATTAAGCTGTAGAGCCATATTATTCCAGCCCAACCCCATCCACAGCCTTTAATTCTTGCAAAGCTCCAGTTAGCATAGACAGCAACCAGAGTAGCAATCTGATGATTGTGCATGTTCTTAGTATCAGATGAGCTTGTCGATTGCAGGGATGATGGAGCACTAGGAGATCAGGGGACTTACCAGCTGAGCGATCACAAAGGCACAGCACAGTAGAAGTCCGGGGCGGTCAAGGAAGAACCATCCTCGCGATCGAGTGACGAATATGAGAGCCTGACTGATGATGCTGACTTGCAGGTACAGAGCAGCCATCATCTCGTGCTCGCTGTCTCTCAATGATCGAACGTGGAACTTATTCTGCATCGACAGTACATTCAAAATGAGACCGGTCATGATCATCCACAGGTTGATTGCTTGTATTAAGATCGTTTACCGAGAAGAAGTCGGTCTCTTTCATGGCCCAGAAGAAGAGGACAGTCATCAAAGCCAAGTAAGTTCCGAGCACGATTCCAGTAGCAAAGATCTCCTTCAGTTTCCAGCTATCTGGCAACGGAGATGGCTTCACGCGATCTTTGGAGATTGTCATGATTGTACCTGCAATTACAGGTTGAGAATTATGCAGAACAGAATCTAAGACTCGGGAATGAATGCAGAGTACAGATGCTGAAGAGCTGACCATCGTTAAGTATAGCAATGATCAGAACCATGAACGGGGAGAAGTCGAATTTCCATATCAGCGCAATCAGCATAAACCCAAGCTGCAAAGATTTGAAGTAGGAATTGTTACAGACATCAAACATCCCAAGAACCAAATGCACAAGATCATGGTCCGGTACTTACGACAATACGGATGGTAATTGAAACAGCATAGATCTGTTGGTATGACAAACGAAAAGGAGAGATTAGCCAGAATAACACTACGGAAAAGATTGGATGAAGGAGATGGATAGATTGATCATACTGTGTAGTTCTTCATCCTCTGGAAGATGGCTCTGCTGGTGAGAACAGCACTGATGATGACGCTGAGACCTGGTTCAGTGAGAACAATGTCGGAAGCACTTCTTGCTGCATCAGTGGCATCAGAAACGGCAATACCGATGTCAGCCTTCTTCAAGGCCGGTGCATCGTTCACACCATCTCCTGTCATTCCACAAATATGCTTCCTTTCTTGCAGCTTCTTCACGATTTCGTATTTATGCTCTGTTTCAAGGAATTCCTACATCAGACTACCATCCAGTAGAGATCCGATTTATGGGTTTGGTGTGGATGAAACATGAGCAGACCTGGGAAAACTCCTGCAAACCCATCAGCCTTTTCGATCAGTTCGTCCACGGGAAGTGTCGCAAGTGTCTCGTCCTTGTGTTGTCCAAGTAGTGAAGAAGAAGGATACATGTTTGTTCCCATACCGAGTCTTCGACCTGTCTCCTTCGCTATCGCAAGCTGATCTCCTGCAATGCAAATGGATCTACCAGTAAAAACTGCAAACAGAGATTCTGGTACTCGAAAGGCAGACTGTGAGGGTCGTCGGATTACCAGTGATCATCTTCACGTTCACGCCGAGGTTGAGAGCCTTCCGAATGGTTTCAGCACTGTCATGTCTTGGGGGGTCGAAGAGGGGCAGTAAGCCAACGAACTGCCACGGCGTCCCAGCACTCTCCTTTGTCCTCTCAGGAACTTCCTGCAATAAAAGATGGATGATACAAGGAACAAGGAGACTGCAATTCTAACAGGTAAACAGACCTGTCTTGCCACGGCCAACGATCGAAGCCCGCGTTCAGCGAACTTGTCGATTACTGCGTGAACCCTTTTACGAACATCTTCCTTGCAGCTGCAGAGGCTCATAATCTGCATGACGACACAGTTAGCAAGGAAACCTCGCATGAAGTTGTTCCGAGATCAAGCAATCCATTTACCTGTTCAGGAGCACCTTTACTTGCACGATGCCAGTTGCCGTTGGCATCAACGTAAGTGAGTGCAGTTCTCTTGTCGACAGGGTTGAAGGGAAGGAAATGCACTTCCTGGATTCCTGCTCTTGCCTGTGTAGTCTCAGCTAAGTTAGAACAGAACATTCTTCTGCTAATAATGAGAGAACGGAAGTTGTTGGCATGTCGGGCTGTACCTCCTTTGGATCTGCAAGCATTCCGACCATGGCGGCATCGATGGCGTCCTGGTTCTCCGTCCGTGATGCTCTTGCAGCCAGTAAGACCACATGATCTTTGTCGACGCCTTTAGCAAACACCTCGATCAGGTTCTTATCGACGCTGAGCTTGTTCAGCGTGAGTGTCCCGGTTTTGTCACTGCAGAGGACGTCCATGCCTGCCATTTCCTCGATGGCAGTCATCCTCTTGGTGATGGCGCCTTGTTGGGAGAGCTTATGAGACCCGATGGCCATGGTGACCGACAAGACGGTGGGCATGGCGATGGGTATTCCTCCGATCAACAGGACCAGTAGATTGTCTATGCCGTCCCTGTACGACCTGTGCTGGATGGGGTACATGACGATGATCTCGATGACGATGCCGGTGGCGATGGAGCAGATGCAGAAGTTTCCGATGGCCGTCAGGACCTTTTGGAAGTGCCCGACTTGGTTAGTGCTGTCGACCAAATGAGCCGCCTTGCCGAAGAAGGTGTGCACGCCGGTAGCGATGACAACAGCTTCGATCTCGCCCTGCTTGCATGTCGAGCCGGAGTACACCCCACTTCCTGGATTCTTGGTGACAGGAAGGGATTCCCCGGTGAGAGCGGATTGGTCAATCTTCAGCGGGTCTCCCTCAAGCAGGCGCGAGTCGGCCGGGATGATATCCCCCAGTTTGATGCTGATGATGTCTCCGGGCACAAGAATTGCGGCGTCCTGCTCGGCCCAGGTGCCATCTCTGAGAACCTAAAGCAAAGAAAAGATACACCACTGTGAGGAACACAGGTCACCTCCCAAGGACATGATCCTCGAAGCTTCTTCATCTTCAACCTCTTCTTACCTTCGCTTTCGGGGCCAAGCGAGCCATGAGAGCTGCTGCAGCATTTCCGGCATTGTTCTCTTCGATGAAGGAGATGGTGGAGTTGATGACCAGCAGAATAGCGATGCCAAGAAAGTCTTGCCAATCCGGGGCCCTCCCTCCACCATTAGCCAGGGCGATGGCCATGATGGCGGCCATCTCCATGACCCAGGACAGGGGATTCCACATGAACCCGAGAAACTTGAGGAACTTGCTTTCCTGTAACATCCGAATCCATTTGGCGATTCAGGAAAGCAAAGAGCAGAAGACAAGATAAGATCAAATTCGAGCGGACCTTCTTCTCCTCGAGCTTGTTTGGCCCAAAGATCTGAAGCCGGTCGGCGCCCTCCTGCGACGTCAGTCCCTCCTTGGTACATTTCAGCTGCTCGAACACTTCCTCTATCGGAATCTTCTCCTGTGAATTCAGGAGAAATGATATCATGATAAGACAGAAAGAACAACGAGAAGCAAGAAATCAGCAGCAGCGACATGGAGCGGCTTGACTACCAGATCAACAGTCTCGTTCTTGAGCTCCTCCAAGCTGCTAGCTTTGTCTCCTCCCATTTCCTCCCCCGCCTACTCTCCACACGGCCGAGAGGTTCGACCAGGAGACCGAGAACAACAGCTCAGAGATCAAAAACAACGCCACCAATTGTTCGTTGCTCGATGGAAGTAAGCAAGCGAGAGAAGGAAAAGAAAGAGAGAGGAAGAGGAGAGTCTCAGCTCGCGGCCTCCGTCTGCGATCGTTGGTCTGGATGCACCAGTTTTATACCCAACTGGCCACCCCCCGCCTCTTCAACCTGGCGGGCCCCCACACACCTAGGGATCGTACGCGACAAAAGTTACCCGATAAAGAACTGCCGTCA